GAGAGGCCGACGGCGGAACCCCCCCCCCCCCCCCCCCCCCAAAAAAAACTAGGTTAGTTTATTTTTCTTTTTCTTTTTTTTCAGTTAGTTTCATGCATCCTAAACACAGGAAAAAAAATTTCCTTTGCAAACCCTAGATTCTTTTATTTCATATTCATAACAATTTAACTCCCTCACTCATTCTAATTTGATTCCATTTACTAAGATTTACTATGAAATTTGAAAGGAGATTATACCTCAATTGATTGGGATGTTGATTTGTTGCCTTGGTCTCCTTTTCTCCCTTCACAAGCTTTCTAATGATTCAAAGAGTTTTGTTAAGGAGGAGAGGTGTTGTCTGTTCTTTTTTCTTCTCTTTTTTTTTCCAATTTTCCTATGGTTTTCTTTGAGTTTTCTGTTTTTATTCTTCCGTTAAAGAGGTGCCGACCATATTGTCGAATGAATTTTAGCCACAAAACTTTAACGTGACAGATAAACGGGAGTTAGGGTGTAATTCCTAAAATACCCTTAATTAATTCTCTAATCTGTAATTAAAAAAATTCTATTAATCAAGTTTTAAGGTACTAATTATTTAGGCTACTACACTCTTCCCTCCTAATAAAAAGTTTCGTCCTCGAAACTTAACATACCTATATCTCGAAAGAGCTCTGGATATTTCTCTCGCATAGAAGCTTCCGTCTCCCAAGTAGCTTTTTTTCAGAGTGATTCTTCCACTGAACTTTCACATATTTGATTATTCGGTGTCGGAGTACTTGTTCTTTATAATCCACAATACGTTCTGGTCTTTCCTCATAGGTCAAATCTGGCTCGAGCTCTACTGGAGACAACTCAACGATCTTATTTGGATCTCAGATGAACTTCCGAAGCATGGATATATGAAATACATCGTGTACTCCATACAGGGATGGTGGTAAGGCTAGTCTGTATGCCACTGGACCAACGCGTTCCAAAATTTCAAAAGGACCGACAAATCTCGGGCTTAACTTTCCTTGGATTCTAAATCTTTTCACTCCTCGGGTAGGCGAAACCTTTAAGAAAACATGATCGCCTACTTGAAATTCCAATTCCCTTCTTCTTTGATCAGCATAACTCTTCTGACGACTTTGTGCTGTGCGAAGACGTTCTCGAACTAATTGAATTTTATCAATTGCTTGTTGTACCAATTCTGGTCCAAGAAGTTTCCTTTCTCCAACATCATTCCAATGAATAGGAGACCTACACTTCCTTCCATAAAGAAGCTCATATGGTGCCATCTGAATGCTAGCTTGGTAGCTATTATTATATGCAAACTCGGCCAGAGGCAGATAATCTTCCCACAACCCTTTCATCTCCAGAACACAACATCTCAACATATCTTCTAGTGTTTGAATTGTCCGTTCTGATTGGCCATCTGTCTGTGGATGATAAGCTGGGCTGAAATTTAGTTTAGTCTGCAGAGCTCTATGCACACTTTTCCAGTATTCTGATGTGAACCAAGGATCTCGGTCAGAAACTATTGATATTGGTACACCATGCAACCTTACTATCTCATTGATGTACATTTTAGTCAGCTTTTCTAATAAAAATTTCATATTTATAGGTAAAAAGTGTGCTGACTTTGTTAACCGATCAACAATTACCCATATTGCACCATTCTTTCTCAAAGATTTCGGAAGGCCAGTGACGAAATCCATGGTGATCTTTTCTCATTTCCACATTGGTATGTCCAAGTTATGGACTAATCCAGCTGATCTTTGGTGCTCAGCCTTTACTTGTTGGCAAGTGAAACATTCTGCAACATAGGTGGCAATTTCCTTCTTCATATTATTCCACTAATATATTTCCTTCAGGTCTTTATACATTTTTGTTGATCCAGGATGCATAGTATACAGAGAGTGATGTGCCTCTTTTAGAATCTTTTTCTTTATCTCTGGTATGTTAGGCACACAAACTCTAGTTCCAAACCTCAATGATCCATCTTTATGTATCTTAAATTCTCCTTGAGTGCCTTCTTCCACATCTTTCTTTATCTTCAACAGTTGAGGATCATTCTGCTGGTTTGCTTTAATTTCATCTAGCAAAGAAGGTTATATTATCATATTTTCTAATTTAACTCCAATTTGATGGATTCTAATTTCAATTCCAGTACGGTCAAAGTCCTCCAACATTTTTTTTTGAGAAGTAATTAGGCAAGCTAAATTGCATGAATTCTTACGGCTCAAGGCATCAGCAACAACATTTGCCTTGCCAAGGTGATAATGGATGGTCATATCATAATCTTTTAGAAGCTCCAACCATCTTCTTTGCCGTAAATTTAACTCCTTTTGGATAAATATATATTTCAAACTCTTGTGGTCAATATATATTTCACAATGTACTCCATATAAATAATGTCTCCAAATTTTGAGAGCAAACACTACTGCCGCTAACTCAAGATCATGAGTGGGATAGTTTTGTTCATAAGGCTTTAACTGCCTTGAAGCATATGCTATGACTTTTTCATTTTGCATAAGTACACATCTCAGTCCTCTTCTAGAGGTATCACTATAGATAGCAAAGTTTGTGTCTCCACTGGGTAATGTAAGTATTGGAGCAGACACTAATCTACTTTTTAGCTCTTGAAAGCTTTTCTCACATTCTTCTGACCAAATAAATTTATCTCCTTTCTGAGTAAGACGAGTTAGAGGTGAAGAAATACGAGAGAATCCTTCCACAAATTTTCTATAGTAGCCAGCCATACCAAGAAGCTACGGATCTCCGTCACAGTAGTCGGTCTGTCTCATTTAACAATAGCTTTTACTTTTTCAGGGTCCATAGAAATCCCTTCCTTAGAGATTACATGCCCAAGAAATGCTACTTCCTCCAACCAGAATTCACATTTCTTAAGTTTCGCATACAGTTGTTCTCTCTTTAATGTGTGCAACACCTGTCTTAAGTGTTCTTCATGTTCTTCTTTACTTCTTGAGTATATCAGAATATCGTCAATAAATACCACAACAAACTGATCCAAGAAAGGTTTAAATACTCTGTTCATAAGATCCATAAATGCTGCAGGTGCATTTGTGAGCCCGAATGGTAAGACTAAAAATTCATAATGACCATAGCGGGTTCGAAATGCAGTCTTTGGCACATCTTCTGGCTTAATCATTAATTGATAGTAACCAGAACAGAGATCAATCTTCAAAAATACCTGAGCTCCTTGTAATTGATCAAATAGATCATCAATTCTCAGTAATAGATATTTGTTCCGAATGGTTACTTTATTCAACTCACGGAAGTCAATACACAATCTCATACTTCCATCTTTCTTCTTCACAAATAACACTGGTGCACCTCAGGGTGACACACTCGGCCGAATGAAGCCTTTATCTAAAAGTTCTTGCAGTTGTATCTTGAGTTCTCTCAATTCAGCAGGTGCCATTCGATAAGGAGCCTTAGAAATAGGACTCGTACCAGGTACTAGGTCAATTGAAAATTCAATTTCTCTATCTGGGGGCATTCGTGGAAGTTCTTCTGGAAATACCTCTGGAAATTCTCGGATAATTGGTATCTCTTCCAAGCTTGGTTTTCCATCATCAACCATCTCAACTGAAGCCAAATAACCCATACATCCACTCCTCAGCGCTCGATGTGCTTTAAGGGCTGAGATGATTTTTAAGGGTTCTTGACACTTACCGCCCTCAAAACAAAATTCAGGTTGGCCATGAAATTTGAATACTACTTTCTTTTCTCGACATAAAATAGAAACATGATTTAAGGATAACCAATCCATCCCCAATATGATATCGAAATCATGCATTTCTAGCATCATTAATTCTACTGGGAGTTCCTTGTCGAGAATATAAATTTTACCCCTACAACCTTGATTTGATACTAATATGCTATCTCTAGGTGTACTAACAAGCAATTCTTATTGTAGGGTATCACATGGTAATTGATTTCTCTTAACAAACTATGCAGCAATAAAGGAATGTGATGCACCAGAATCAAATAATACTCGAGCATGAACCGACGCAAAAATTAGCGTACCTGTCACCACATCCTTGTTTGCTTCTGCTTCATTCTTAGTCAAAGAATAGACTCGGGCATTGGCTTGAGGATATCGATTCCCACTACTGGACTGGCCAGTCTGGAAAATATTCCTAGATGGTTGTTGTAGGGGACAACTTGCTATTTTGTGATCTTTCTGATCACATCTCAAACAAGCTCTGGTATTTCTCCAACAATTTTTTGCTTCATGCCCCAGTTTATGACAAACATCACATCTTAAAGTTTTCTGGTTAGGAATTTGCTCCTCTGCGTCCAAAATTCTGCTTTTTGTTTCTCCAATTCTTATTTCTTCCACCGCGATTATCCTTCCAGAACCACCTCTTTGGGTAGGAGCTGCTCGTCTCATTCTTTGGCTTTTTATCAATTTTATTTTTCTCAATTAACAAGGCCTTCTTTAATACTTCTCCATATGTAGGGAGTTCAAATGCACTGACCGCCTTCCGAATATCCGGTCGAAGCCCTTCCTCGAAGCGACGAGCTCTATCTTCCTCATTACCCAACAAGTGAATGGCAAATTTTGATAGATAAGTGAACTCCTCTTCATATTCAGCTACTGTCTTATCACCTTGCTCCAATTTTCGAAACTCTTGTTCTTTTTGCTTGCGAACAGTTGAGGGAAAGTATTTCACATAAAAGATCTTTTTAAATTCCTCCCATGATATCTTGTATGCATTCTCACCCAACGTCCTGACCTGCATCAGCCACCACCCATAAGCACGGTCTTTTAACATGTATACTGCATAATCAACATTCTCCTCTTCAGGGCAATTCATGTATGTGAAAACCTTTTCCATTTCTGTGATCCAATGCTCAGCAATCATAGGATCAGTTGTTCCCACAAAACTGGGTGGAGATAGTTTCTTGAATTCTCCCATGCCACTTCTTAATTTTGGGTGCTCCTCATTTTGACCATTCGTCTGATTACGCTCAATTTGATCTTGTTGTCTGGTAACTACAGAGGTCACCGCTTGCAGCAGATCCATCAATGCATTGTTGTCTATTGAGTTTCCGGAGGTGGATGCACAAGCAATTCTAGATCTCATCATTTCACCTATTGTCTGATTTAGATCATTATCTCCGTTAGGAGGTGTTTGCTAATTACCTGAAGTCATAGCTTCCTATAAATAATAAAATATTTCAGTCAACTATTATACAAGGAAAATTTCTAAGTCAGTCACATATATGCAATTTAAGTAATTAGGAACTCAATCATTGCTTACCATAATATCACAAATCAGTATTTACAAACCAAAAGTATATTATTTTAACTTTTTTTCTATACATATATCTGAGTATATGGGTTTATATATACATATTTTCTGCCAAAATGTCCTACATAAACCAAAAGAGTGACTACGAAAACCCATATACTGATATTACAAAATTGCCCTAACAGCTATGCTC